TCATCAGAAAATAATTTAAGCAAGGCAAATGCCCGTTCTACTTTCATTACAATGTCCTTATAAACAATGATTAGAAAAGTTTAACTGACCTTTCAGGATATTTAGTAATTCTTCTTTCTGCTCTGACCTCCGTTTTGTCTCATATTTCTGACTTTTGTGTTCTTTATATAGATTAATTGCAGTTTTACCTTTCTAAAACATAAAATACAGTGAATACAGATGTGAATGAAATATTATGATATAAACTAATTGATAGTAAAACAGTGTGTATTTATTTTTACATAAGCCTAATGAGAGAAAAAATTATGTAAAAACACTATTTTTGAGAAAAATGTTACCGGTACGCTATGAATATTTATAATTTAGTACACTCTTTGGATGCTTACTAATGACACATTTTTCCTACGTACTTATATACTACAAATTAATCGATTAATCATATGAAATGTTGTATGATGGATTAACACATTAATATGACAGGCCTACACATTATTGTTCCTAAGGATTTTAACCAAGGCATCCTATGCTTGATTATACTGCAATTGCCACAATGCTTGCGTATAATCCATAGTAGGACTATTAATATTGAAGGGTATACTTACACTGTTTTTAATTGAAACAATATCTCTATGACCCGTAATCATAAACGCTACGGTAACCTTTCTATGTTGATCATAACTTAGGCGTTGGTTCAGAAAGCAGGAATGTAGAGGTGTGTTTCCATCCTGGTAGTTGTTATATTAAAATATAATTATACATTATATATTTATAGAGTAAATATTATATAGATCAATTATTGAAATAAAGAGTATACAATCTTCTCTTTTATCTATACACAATTTACACAGATTATGTAATATAAAGTTACGTATCATGCCTTATAACAGTATATTGAGTTTTGTGAGATATCAAAGTACAATAAGAACTTTATTGAAACTTTATTTTATCATTTTGTTTTACGTTGTCAGATATAATTTTTCCCTCCTGATATTTTGTTCTAACTGAATTTTCAATACCTTTGTCTGAAGAACCAATGCACCATAATCTAGCAATAGTTTAACAACTGATGCATAACCAAGAAAAGCCGCTGCATGCAGTGCTGTGCCGCCATCCTTGAAATAAAAAAATAAAAATGCAAAAAAATAAATGCAATAAAACGTAGCATAAGATACGTGAAAATACAATATGTATGAAGCAAGGATAACTCGTAATATAAAAAAAGCTTCATGAATAACAATGAATTGTACAGGTAATTACAGGGTTGATCCGTACCCTGATAAAGAGAAACATGCACTCGGAGTGAAAGAGCTAAACATATAAATAGCTGGAAAACTGTAGGCCTAAATCTATGTTTACGACGCAAAAATGCTTAGAAAATGGTATTGACTGTGTCTCTGAAAAGTGGAAGTTGCTATATTATTGCAATAATCGTAAAACATTTTGAAGATTTCAGATAATTTTAATTAATGTCTTGACATTACCGCAAAAGACCAACTGTCAAAAATTTACACTGATTTTGAATAGCCAAGTAATTTCACTAAATCAATATTCTGAAAAGAATCAGATTCACAGAAGATTAATCACGATCTCTCATGAACAAAAACAATAAAATTGGCAACCTAAATTAGAGCAATTTGGATATTTAGGAAGGTACGAGATGAGATACAGAAAAATGGATTGAGTACATTGGTGGCGCCAGTGGGTGAGTCTGGGGTTGGCGTTTCCACCGAAGGTATTTAGTATTATTGTAATTGTATAAATGTGTTCATTATAAATGTAAGCACATGTAAATTAAAGTGCAATAAGTTGTAAATGAATCTATTAATTTGATAATGGAAATATGATCAAAATAGAATTTAATGTTTACAGTAATGATTGTCCTTTTTTTAATAACTGTAGTTTGTGAATGTAAAACTTTGTAATAGGCGTTGATAATTTGCTCTTGTTAGATTTTACGCTTTATATCATCATAGTTTTACTGTGCAATTAACGCAGTTCAATGTAATTCTGCTTTGTCAAATTGTGATGTTGTTTGAATAAAACCAAAATATATGTACAATTTAGAGTTTATCTCTATTATATCATTATAATAGCAGTACAACATATATAATGTTAAAAAAATTACATATTTCTGATGTTAACGTTACACCTGGATCTCCACTGCATGTACTGTATGTTGAAAATATATAGTAAGAAAGGCTTGTTAATAAGGCAGTATAATAGCTAAAGAACAGATATGAGCTGGCTTATTATGAGTAGAATAAGGATGTTAGAAATGAAAGACGAAAGACATATGCTCTTTTCACATGGATAATCCCACGTACTAAAAAGAGAACTTCGTATTGGAAAAGCCCAGAGGAAGAAAATCCTATTGGTACCTAACTATGAAGGTACAAACAGAACAATATATGAAATAGCAAAAAAGACCTGCCATTAAGAAGCAAAGCACAGTATGGAGGACTTCAAAAACAAAATAATAAACAAAACTAAACATCATCGAAATAATAAACCTAATCATATCCAATAAATCTATATGGCATTGAAAACATGCTCCAGCTTACCGTGTTAACTTGGTTTACATCAACTTTAGCATTTAAAAGCAATTCGACCGTGTCATATTGGTTGAAGTGAGCGGCAGTCATTAAAGTCGTCCAACCGTCCTAAAACGTATTATGTATATTAAACATAACCAAAAAGATGTTTGTATAAGCAATACCAATTTAATACATCAAATACTTAATATACTGTAGCATAATTATATCTCTTGTTAAAATTTTGCTCTTATTAAGCTGAGATTGATTTACTCTTTTTACGACTTGGGTTGTCTGTCCTACTACAGCTTTCAGCACTCTTTTAGACTGACGACCCAGTTTGGAAATTCAGATGTGAATGCAACCCACTGACCACTCACACATGCCCAAATCATAGAGGCACAAACAATGCTACACTGTAAGTGCGTTCCATACCTGTCTCTTTTACTACTATTTTCAAGAATTTTCGTAGAATTTGGTTTGTCCACGTCCTGTCCATAGTATTTTAAGTATTTTTATTTTACTCATAAACATAGTTATAAACATACAATTGAATATAAATGCCGAGAAACCGAAGATACAGGGCCTGTGTTTGTGGTCCCGAATCTTACTTAACTGATCTAACACGCATCGCACTTCTATATTGCAAGCTTAAATATTATTGTCGGGTCTACAGTCAGCTAAATTCTATAATTCAACCAGAGTAGTGGAGTAAAAAATTGATACGGTAAATAATTTTAACTAGGCATATCCGAAATTTAATAGGTCTTCAAACTTACTTCCTGTTGAATATGCATATCTGCACCTGAGTCAATTAGAACTTTGCAAACATCAGCATGACCGTTTTGAGCACTCACAAATAGAGCCGTCACCCCTTTCTGCAGAAAATTATATAAAACTCAAACATTATTTCATGGTAAACATTTATCGTTTATATTAGGATCTATTAATAAAATTATTAAATATTAAAGTCATAAAAGTTATATTGGAATATATATCGGCATATAATTTAAATAAGATTATTGGTTTTTAAGTAAATATACATATTCTAAGCTCTTATCAAACATTGGTTAGAATTTAGGTCTATTATTAAGAATAACAAAAGATACTAGAAACACAAGATAGAGTTCTCCACACAAAGAAAGTGTTCCACCGAAATGCATGGTGGGAATACAAACAATGGGACGCCCCTTACGGCTCGATCTAAAAAAACTTCAACCAAACTTTCGTTACCAATTCGTCGCGTCTTTTATTTGTCAATTCTCAATAAAAAAAATTCTACACAATTGTACATTTAGTACAATTTCACCCAGACAATGACAACGGTGAATACCGTACATAATTCTTTGGCGGAGGTAGAAATCGTTGCTATTATCCAAATAAAACACACAATTAAGCCTATGGATCAGTATAGAAAACAACAATATAGCGCAAAATGGCCGGACGCACTCTAGTGATAAAGTTTTCCTCTATTAGTAGAAAAAGAAGGGCGTCCGTGTGCGTCTGGATATACTTAGCAACAGAAGCTCTATCTTGTGTTTCTAGTATCTTTGGATTAACCTTCATTTGAATGTCCTTGTCTGCCCCATTTGCTATCAACACGTTGACAATGTCCACAAAACCCTTATGAGCGGCAAGTTGCAGAGCTGTCCATCCTCTCTTTTTAGGAGTAAAAAGAAAGGAAAAAAATCGCAAATTGGAAGAATACATTATAAATGTTAGGTCTGCAATGAAAAGCCAGTGCAGTAGCAACGGTAATAATTAATAAACTTACTATACATGTTTGTAAAACAGAACACGCTTTTCCTAATTGTCACAATGAGAACTGACGTTAAAGTTACAAGGTAAAACAATCATTAAAAATCTTTAAAGTAAGCATATATAAAAAACAAATCATGATAAAAAAAAATTAGATTAAAAATCAAAATTATGATATAATAAAAACCATTAAAACGAATTTGACGTCAGTGAGACTTGACCTATAGACCTAGTTGCAATAGTAATAGCGAGGGTGGAGAATTCTAACCACTGCGTCATAGTGATTGTTCCACACCACCTCAGCCCCAGTATGGTTGGGTTCTGTAATTGTGTTTGTCATTTTTATATTTAATTTTAAAAACTTCAGGAAGCCCCGGTCGGCTATCACCCCTTCTCCAGCCTCGAATCCTCCTCTGCATTAAGCTGTACGATAAAAAAAAGATAGAAGGTGTACGATAAAATCGAAAAGATAAACGTTAAGAGAGAGCATTGCGTCAATATTTTTTAACAACAAATATATTCCACTTGTGCCTGTAGATTATTAATATAAAATGCATTGTTTAAACTTCGTTATTTAATGGCCAACATTCGAGCTTGTAATCTGTCCATTAAACAAAATTGAGTTTACGTTCGCTTGCTTGTCTAATATATGTTGTATAAATAAATTAAGAATTTTAAATTCAAGTGACGGACGATGAAAACCCGTTATCAATATGCCAGAGAGGAATAACTCTACACCCCCCGATTATGTATTTTGGATATTGAACAAGTATTCAGCTCAGACGACAATTTTCGCTAATTTACAGAAGGGCATCGCCCCTGCACTCAACCAGTTAAGTGCTCAGATTTGATTCAGCAATGTACAATTTATGTAGGACTATTTTATGTATCTAAATAGAAAATAGTAAACATAGTATTTGTTTTTGCTTACTTGATATTTGGTATCGATAGCAGATGTTGGCGTTTTGCTTGCTATGGTTGCTACCACATCTCTTGGAATAGCCTCTTCAGATCTCAAAATTTGAATCAATGGGGTGTAACCAAACTGGGAGAAGGGATCTAAATTAGTATATGCACATTTATCGGGTTCAAATATATTTGTAGGTGTCATTTTTGCTACTTAAATATGTATTTTCTGTCATGAGGAAAAATTTAAAAATGAACTCAATAATGTTCACGTCCATTAACAGACAGTTAGATAATAAACATTTGCTGTAATATTTTGCCTAACTTAGCTATTAATCAAGTTTAGGAATTTTGTAGAAAAACGTCTGTAAACCAGCGAAAACTAATCGTTTACTTTATTTTTCTGGATGAAAGTTAATAACTTACTTGATCCTTATAGCTATTCAAATCCATTAAATTTTAAAGAGCTTGCCAATTTTTTGACAGTGCATGTTTAACAATATTCACGACGAAATAGTTCTTCTTTCAGACACACTCATATGTTCAACCTACCACATTATGTCAATTAAAAATAATGTTTCTCACCATATTTAGCCTAATAGTTTTTTATTTCTGCCGCCTGCTCGTTTAACATTTCAATAGCTATTTATTTGCAGAAATTGAAAACCATCTTCATAATGGGTGTTGGAGTTTGCTTGTTTATAAGCTTCACCAAGGCGTAGCCTACATTAGGCCTACCATACTTATATAACCGTAATGATAATGATGAATAACTTAATGGAAAATGTTAGTGTTGGTTTTTGTTAGTGGCAATATTTTAATTGGCATTGATATTGTTATAATTGCATCGATAACAGTGTGAATTCAATTATTATTACAAATAAAACATAAAGTAATACTCTGTAATTGAGTGAGATATTCATCTATTTTCTGCAATTACTTACTTTATCATCCTGCACACTTAGCAATTCAGGATGTTCCTCAGTGATTTGACGGACGGTCGACCAGTCACTTAAATCGATGGCTTCATGAAGCTCTGTCCCTCGACTATCCTCAAACTGTTGCTCTAATAACTGTGTAATAAATTAGACTGGTACAGCTCATCATTATTTATCTTTATATACTACAGTTTGATATAAAACTTATCACAACTAATTACACTAAAATAATCTTCACTTGCTTTTGAGCTTAGTATCTGTCTCTTATACACATCTAGATGTGTATAAGAGACCAGTATAACAATATACATTTTCTGGTAAAGTCTTGCGACTAGTTACTACACGCTGCGATATCAATTCATACATGTTTGAAACAATTTCGCCCATGAATCTTTATCATTAGCAATTTCTTTAAGATACATAAGATCTTCATAACTATTCAGACAAAGATGTCGTTTTCTTACATCTACCTGCAATTGATTCATTAAGTTACTTTGCGGTCTACCAACACGCCCTTTATATGTTTTAGAATTACTTAAAGCAAATGACATAGCAGTAAATGCTGGTGTATTTTTATCTAACCTAAATATGTGACCTAACATCATCCAACGTGATTTTTCAATTATTTTTGACAATTGGGATGTGGCAGTAATTTTATACAAGTTTACATTACTAATTCTTTGAGGCCAAAATATCTTCAGAATTATTCTTAGACGTTTTCTGTGGAACGCATCAACTTTGTTCCACCATTTAGCAGACAGTGCCCAACTATTTGAGTTGTATAATAAAACTGAAACAACAATTGCATTATAAAGTCTTAATTTAGTATATATTGATATATTCTTGTTGTTCCATGTTTTCATATAATTACTGAACGCTACTGTAGATAATATCATTCGATGTTTAACATCAGAGATACTATCGAGCATAGTCCCTAACACTTTATGATTACGCCATTCTTCAGACCTAGGTTCATTTTTCTTGTCAATATAAACGTGTGTAAATTCAGTTTTTGTCGGATTAATATATAAGCTCCACTGCCTGAAAGTACTAGTTGCTACAACTATATATATATAAAATATATGAAGAAGGCGTGTCCACGTGTATTTCGAAACATATTTAGAATAGTGGATGGAATATAATGTAAAATAAGACCTAACCTTGACACCCCATTATCCTACTGTCATCATATTCATATATGTAGGACTGGTGACTGTCCTTGTAAAATGCAATATGCGAGGATTATATAATCCTAATCTGGCTTATGCCGTTCTGTATATTGTATATACAACCAGATTACAACAGTTTAATTACTATACTGGAACAACCTAAAACGCCGGGAACCAGCGTAGATTTTTAAACCAATTTCTAAATACGCCATTTTGGAATTCATCCGAATTATGACTGTAAACACGCGCATTTACAGGCTTTTTTGGATTCAAAATAGTACGTATACAGGTATGTATATCATGTCTTTCTCTAAAAGTTTAGACTTAATATTAACTCTAATTCTTTAAAAAACATTAAAGTTCAGTCAACCTAGGCCTAGACCAAGGCCCTCGGCATAACCTAGTTTAGGCCTAGATGAACAACTTTCGGCTAGATCATGTGTGGGAAATAGCCGGGCCTCTCGCTTAGGGGTGAAGGGCCTAGGTATTTAGAATTGCCAAGAGGCTCCCTACTTTGAGTGTCATAGTGGGTCCCCCTAATAGTACCTCCCTAGTGTTCTATTACCTCAGTGCAGGCCTATTTGAATTCACTATTTCTACTACTAGCCTCCTATATTAGGCTTAAGGCCTTCTACTATAGAGCCCTATCTATGTAGACATAGGTATCTAACCTAGGCATAGCCTAGACTCGATTTTATTACAGAGGTTCAACCTAACCACGCCTAGGCTAGGCTTCCCCTCCCCCCTCACCTGCCACTCCCTCCCTTCCTTGTCCAAGTCTGGCTTAAATACTGCATTATTTACTAGATTTACTGCTCAGTGCAGCTAACTGGTTATTTTTATTAATGAATGTTATCAGTTGAAAACTACCCTTGGAATAAAAAGAAAGGTCCAGAGAGGAGATTTTACAGATTGACCACCTAATAATAATAATTAATAATCATATATTTAAAAAAAAAAATTTAAATCAGATATTTATTTATTTATTTTAGGGATGTTCTTGTTTGCTTGCTCACTCCCTGGTGGGGACCTGCTTGGTCCCCACCTAAAGTTTGAAAAATAAAAAAAAATAGAGAAAAAAGGAAAATTATACAAGGATGAAAGGATACAATAGTGATAATATTAATATTAGTAATAATGAACGTATTATTATTATTATTATTATTATTATTATTATTATTATTATTATTAATTTTAATAATAATAATAATAATAATAATAATAATAATAATATTCCATCCATTCGTTCATCCATTTACTCACTCATTCTCTCACTCATTTACACTCACTCAATTTTTTTACTCATTCATTCATTATTTCATTTATTCACCCACTCATTCAATCACTAATTCATTCATCCATTTATTTATTTATGCATTCATTCATTCATTTAATCATTCACTCATCCACTCACTCAATCACTTATTCATTCATTCCTCCATTCATTTATTCATGCATTAATTCATTTATTTACTCACTCACTCACTCACACATTAATTAATTCATTCATTCATGTTTTCATTCATTCATTCATTCATTTATTCATTCATTTTCGTTTATTCATTTGATTTTATTCATTCATTCATTTTCAATCATTCATTTTTATTCATATATTTATTCATATTATTAATTATGATCATAAAACAAATGTGTATTTTTTGATTGGTACTAAAAATAATATTTTTTTTGGA